ACATGTAAAGAGGCCGCCCGTGCTGTCGCGGCCAACGAACTCTATCAAATGCACTGGGGCCCTACCCAAGTTCCAATTTACAACCTTCTTGGCTTATTCACGATTATCTACTCTCCAGAACGGACTTCGTATCTCAGCATCGCGAAGTATCTCATTAAAACGGCCCGAGTTCCGGTAGACGGAACAGACCTTTCTGGCACCCGTGCACTATCACATTGCTTCTCTACGAAACCCGGATTTGATCTCGAGTATGCGCAGATTCTCCACGATGCTGACGGAGATGTCAACTCTCGTAATCGCTACGGGTCGACCGTCGCACAGGAGATTGTCCAAGTCTACAGGGCCGACGACCCCGACGCTGTTAGTCGCGCTCACGCTGCATTGGATTGGTTTTTGCGGCACGGTGGCAATATTGACCTCGCCGACGAGGATGGATTCACTGTTCGAAGGACCATCACGACGACATTGCGGAAGATACCGGCGTTGAGAGAAATCACGAAGCTCGTGGATGCGGAGGATGCTAGACGGAGAGCACTGGGAGATGCGTGTTGTGCGACATGTGCACGGACGGGGGAGAGCACGACGCTGGCACGCTGTGGGAAGTGCAAAAAGGTTCGGTACTGCCTGCCGGGACTACGTGCTTGTCAGGCTTTGGACTGGCCGAAGCACAAGAAGACCTGCAAGAAACCTTAGGCTATCCGGTATGTGCCATACACTCCGATTACCTTCCGCTCACCAACCTAGTATTCATGTCGCTTAGACCAAGAGAAGTCTTTTAATATAGACCATCCAAATGATTGTCGTTTGGCAACATTATTGTAATTCCGTGAGTGTGAGATATGGGGACCGGGCATCTGGCTAACAACTGGGACGGTGTTCAGGTACTTGTCTTACAACGAATTGATCTATTAACGTCTCGATATGAACCGGCCCAAGGAATATCCGCACACTAAGTATCTCACTCCGCACCCCTTCTATGAAAGCCTGGTGCAGTCTTGTGATCGTCTATGTCTATCTATGTGCAGCATTCGAATCTTCGACTGCCAAAAAACTTGGAGTTCAGGTGCTTATCTTTGTAGACGACTTGCTGGCCAAAACCCGGGGTTTAGGCCGCTATCACCATCAGAACCTCGATGGTTTCTGCGCTCTTGCGAGAATTTGACATGTGACATCGTCACCCAGAGCAAGCTTTAAACGTTCGAGTACTGTGGTGCGGCACGCCGCATCGTCAGAAGCCCTCCGTGACCCTGTTTCAACAAGAAGTACACTCATTACTTATCTCAAGTGTGCAAACCTTGGACTGACTGCAGGGCATAGGACTAATCTTTGCCTCGTTTTGGTAGTTTTGCCGAAGGATATCCCTCACTCCCCTGACATTTGATCCCCTCCGCGACGTCTATTGGCTAATTAACCCCAACATGGATGAATTAACAGTATCGAGCCTGTGATTTGCAGGTACCACACGTTTCAGTGTTCCGTCCCAACGATGTATAAAGTTTCTGTTGCCTTAGGAATTCAAATCGTCTTGCCCTCCAACTTGAAACCACGATGCCGGGAAATACACGCAGAGTGCTCCTTATTCTAGACGCCCAGAAGGCCGCGCTCTCCTCTCCACCCACGGGAATCCCCTCCTCAAAAACAGTCAGCAAGAACATCGCCCAGATACTAGAAACCGCGCGGTCTGCGAACCCACCGCCATTGATAATCCATATTCGCACTGCGGGTGACGTGGGAGAGCCCGACGAACCAAACACCCCGGGATGGGAGCTCGTCAATTCTCCATTGCCGAACGAGCCAGTGATTGATAAGAAGAAGAACAACGCTTTTGCAGGAACGATTCTCGGGGATCTCATAGTATCTGATGCGGAGATCGTTGTGATTGGATTGCAGTCGGATTTCTCTCTGAGAGCTAGTGAGAGGCAACTCGCGTTTCTTCTCGCTTTGGAGATCCTGATTTCTATGTAGCGTGCAGTGCTGCATTGGATCGGGGTAACGAGGTGTTGATAGTTCGGGGTGCCCATGGGACGTATGATCGCTTAGAAGTACTTTTTGGAGAGGGGACCACCACAGCGCACGCGGTTGCAGCTGAGACGGAAGCTGAGCTGGAAGAGGCTGGAGTTTGCATTTTAGAGATGAAGGATGTGCCGGGTATCTTCAACAATCGGTAGTTTTGTGTTTTACGTTTTACGTTTTGGGTATGTGGCCGTGCATTTCTAATAGCCGGAGACGTCTAACAGGTTCGGGGGAACGAATCCATATAGCGGTCGGGAAAATCGTACAAGCACGGTGTTTAATCATGCATCCGGCGAGTAGGGCACCTATTCTGGTCCCAATGCAATCAGTACACAATCTATGAGGCCTCCTGTTCTCAGTGGCAAGTTCCATGGAACTGTTGTATCTGTTGTGAGTGTTCGTTAAGCTGCCAGACTTTTCTCTAGGGTCATCTGAAATGTTCGCGTACACGAAAAGCGATGTCGCCGGGCTTCTCGCATCAGAGACGCTTACGTGCCGGAGACATTGCCTACGGTCGAGAGCGTAGTTGAGATGATCTGCATACAGGAACGCGGGAAGTCAGATTCTCGAAGGTGTATCTGGCTCTATTGCAACTGTCAACAGGATTCCCAGACAGCCCTATTATTGATGGCCTCCATTTTATATTGGACTTGTATAACTAAAGATGGTGAAAGCTGTTTCCCGGCGAGATGCGAGCGACTGGCGGTATTAGGATGGAGCCAACCGTTAGGCGATCATCGGTTAGCTTCACCGCCGTCGCCTTCGACTTTACCTTTCGAAGGAACAAATGATAGGAACCTCGGGCAATAATAGCATTCCTTGGGCGGCCATTAACTTCAAGAGCCTGGCGAAGACGCGTCTTTTGCGGCAGGCACTCAGCACGGCGGTCGGCCCGCAAATACCGACGCTATCTTTGCAGCAGGCACATGCCTACGTATAGTTTCACATACTCTAGAAAACACCGTTACTTGGAAGTCTTGAGTTATATATTTCTTTTAGTCCCGTCTCTGCCTGACTAAGTATCATAGCTCCCTTCGATGTCTTGGGACTCTATTCTTTCCAACCGGACTCTAACGACACAGTGGTCCAAAAACAATGCCGAGCGCTCAGCGCTCCGATGTCATCTTAGTGGGAAAAAAATACCGGCAATCCTGCCCTGCAGGTAAGTCTATACGTCAGGATCCCTGTATCACATTTTCATGTGTATATTCTTGGCTAGCCTCCTCCGCAAAGCATGGATTTGGTGTGTATGGCCCGCTCTTTCCTAGGCTCATGGCACAAAATGCGGGTCGGCAGCTGAGCTATATTTCAGTGCCATCAATGTGATACATGTTACACGTACCAGCGGTTCTCAGTGTGCCGTTTGTTACCTCTGGCAATTCTGACGGGTATATTGAATCGTTGGTGCTCTGTAGACCGATGTCAAGTGACTTGTAGCATACCAAGTATGGAATGCACCGCCCTGGTATAAGATACAAAGTATGAGGCGGGTATTTCTTCACTACATTACTTCTTCTTTAATTAAACGCATGGGAATGCGATTCAGCGTCTTCAGACACCTCCGCGTCCTTTCAGGTGTTTGGTGCGTATTTGTTTGAATGTTTGCGCACTAATACTCACGATGGCGCTCGCAGGGAACCATCCCGGTTCGCAGCCTATTCATCTATGCTTCTCTCTAACTAAATCGTCAACAATCAATCAAACTCTCACCAAGGGTACGTGTGCTCTGTCCTGTCCGAAGAGCGAGATATGTCATTTGAGATACATCCTTCAGAGAAGCGCGAACAACACTAGTGGAGGGGGATGGTCTGGAAGTGGGACGGACGGAAATTGGAGGACCAACCTCTACTAGCTCCGATTCAGGGTCAGACGGAGGCCGGAAGTCCTGTGGAGGCGGAACAATTGGGGACTCTGAGCCTGGTATCTCATATCTGTTGATCGAAAGTAATTCATACTCCCTTGCTGTTTGCTATCCATATGTTTCATGCGACGTAGTCTTTGTTTCACGGAGTGCACGCATTTCATGCGCTTTCGATTTGCGCTACTACATAGACCTACTTACCTTCATATTATTTTATATTCACATCGGCGTGTTATTTGGCAAGTATATCACTTATTCTTGATGTGGCACAGTAGGGAACTCCAAGTTCGACCTCTACTGTCGCAGAAATACGTGTACTGTGTACCCTTCTTGTCGTCTCAGGCGGCACAAAGGAATCGGAAAGACAGGATGTGTACGCACGTCGATCTTGGCTCGTTACCAAGTGTGCAAAAATCGATTCATGTCTTTAGGAGCCTACCTTCTAGAGCATTAGCTTACAGGAAAGAATACTAATACAGTATACTTAGGATGTTTCATCTGTGTGACTTGGCTCACTGTGTGTGCTTGCGCAACGGACCAAAGATAATTCGTTGCAAAGTTCAAGTAGCATGTTCAGGGTCCACACTGCCTTCGCTTGACCTTCGTGAACGACTGTTTCAAGGTGTTCGATAGGGCGGCTTGTGAAATTCTAGGTTATGATACACTATAGGGTTTCGGATGGAGTTACTAGTAACTTACCTTCACCCGCTGGAGGAGTTTTCATCGAGGCGACTTGGGGCTTGTCATGTCATGGCAGGAGCAGCACGGTCTTGACCATATTCAGCTCTAACGACATGACTTCTTTTGACAAAATTTAGTCTATTAACGCCTTGCGCTAATTATTGCACATGGGAGAGGGAAAACGGCAAGAATAAAAATAAAAACGAAGATTCCGGAAAAAAACAGCAATTGCTGCACGTAAGTCAGAGTGAGACTGCGCATGATTGGGTTAGTAACAGTAGAATATCGTAAGTCCCCTCCTGGAGGTTTCGCGGTTTTTGCCTAGTATTCGAGAAATTAGAGATTCGACTTAGCTCAGTCTTTGTCTCTTTAAAGCTGACTTCTAAGGACTAAAAATATCAAAGTAGTGTAAAAAGGGACTTAGAATAATCTATATCAATAATCTCTCTCTGACTGGGAGTCGAACCCAGCCTTCGCGCGTATTCATCAGGATCCGACATGACAGGCGCGTGTACTAACCAATAGACTATCAGAGATAGCATTCTCAGGTGGTTTTCTATTAGGATAGAACTGCCAATCAGCCTCACAATCGGGTATCCACGAGCGAGACCCTCAGATGACCCACATCAACCAACGGCGACGTCTTCCAGGGAATGTCATGAACTGAGGTATTTGGTGCTCTCTTGTAACTTCAGCATCGGCGACGTTCAAACATCGTAGTAGAGCTAGTAAGCAGCACGGGAATGTTGAATTCGATGAAAGGTCGGCCCCGTTGCCGTTACATTCCGCGAACGATTTCTCATATCTTACAGGGCATAACAACGAAACCGAGGATACACATATTTTTACAGACTAATCTACACTAAAACTGGCTGACGAACGTGGTAGAAAAACGAATGGCGGAAGAGAGTGAACTGTAAGGACTGAACTGGAACGCTTGGTGGGTATAAGCTTCCTATATTCTAGTACCGAAACTCAGAATGCATGTCCAACAGGAATTTCGCGTGGACGAGGGGTGAGTGGCGAAGGCGTTAAACGACTGCACCGAAATCAGCGCTCATTCATACCGCCAGACCACGACGGACTCGTACCATTCTGCACCAGAGGCAGTTTTCCTTCCTCCCTCATTTCCTGCCCGCGGCGCGCCTCGTTCTCATCCACCCGTGTTTCCGACAGCGGGTCACCAGACCATCCCAGCAACCGTGTCCTCCTTTGGCGCATTTTCATCACCACCAGCACGGCGATGAGCAGCAAGGTTATTGCTGCTATAATGACGATCAGTGCTGGGGTAGTGGGCGGGGGAGGCATCGTTTGGGTGAGGATCAGGCAGGCCAAGAACCGTCTTATCCTGGCGGGACATGTGCATCCTGTCGCTATTCCTGGACGATGTGGGACAATCCCAGGACTTTCGCCAGAGGGAATGCCGCCGAGGAATGAACGTGGGACCGTCGAGTATTCACTTGGTGGTCATGCGCGACTGCCTAGGCGGTTCTCTATCAACAGCTCTTCTCTTTCTCATCGTTTACCGTGTGTCCTCCTTTCTTTCATTGGCTCTCCTTTCCTGTCATGTCTCCCTGTCCTTCGGAATATGATGGACGGGCAATATCATGAGAGAGGAAGCCTGCATCAGGGCCAACGTTTCGGTCCTCTGACCTTCCGGCTAGTTTTTGAGAGAGCGAAGTAAGGTCCCCTACTATTCCATCTTTTTTCAAGGACCTGACGAGCTTCGGCAGGTGCTCCGGTCCTACACATGCTAAGGGGCAATCATCTGAAGGGAACGAACTGTACGCCCGAGACTACGGATAGATGTGTTTTTGAATCTTGAGAGCCTTACAGTGAGCTTTATCACCGTGCTGTCCTGAAATGTTCTAACGCGGCCCTCAATTAAGTGAGGATCATGGACTCCCGGAACCGGGCCACCAAACCGCAGGCTTAGTCCACAGGAACTTTTCGCGCCTCTATCACAATCGCCGACGTCCCTTCACCATATGTTGTGCCTCATTCACATCGGACTATCCCAGCGACATGCGGCTCCTAGCGTGCAGCTGGGTTGCTGCTAGTACCGGGCACAGCTCAAGAAGGCGCCCTTTTCAGCGGACACCGCTCGAGACGGAGATCCCTCCGGGAACCGTCGTCGCTAGCTCACAGCCGTTCGCCTTATCTCTCAACCGATGGACACCGAACGGACGGCAGGCTCCCCAGGAACTGATAATGTTCTTCGTTGCCTCTTCCTTCGACTACCGCACGTTTTTGTGATCTAGGCAGGCGCCTCTTGGAACAATGTTCGCACATAGTGTGTTCAGTCGGTGTCTTTCCCGGGGCCGCGATTTGCCATGAGAGCTCTTTCACAGCTCTCTCCCATTCTCGAAGCAAGGAGTCTTTAGAGAGGATAGGACGTTACTTTCGCGGGTGGTCCTTGAGATCTCTTTCGACAATTCACTCGTATCGGACCCTCATTGACATCTCTGAGGAGCAAGGTGTGCGTCTCAGCACGGTCGTCGAATCGTATTATAACACTACCTTTCGTGTAGCAACATTATGGATGGAGAGATCGACAGCCTGGATCATCGAGGCTAGGCCTGCTGTATATTGTCGCATTTTCCCGGGCCTTTCTCTTCCCCTCGTGTGGTTCCGTCATCCTCAATCCACACATGTGCCTCACATAATCCCTCATGGCGACTCTGTTGAGAAGAATCTGACCTTCTGTCCGCGCATAGTCTAGTTCCGCGAAGGAGATGGGCGAAGAAGTATCCTGACTTTCTTTGACACGATCCCTCGACCACGTTCAGAAGACCGGGTATCGCTCCGTGTGCCGAGTTTGAAGAGAGGCGCCTTCTTCCCCCGCGAACGGGCACGGCTCAAGAGGGTTTCTTGCGACCGTGACCTCCTCACTTTCTGCCGCCGCGTTTGACGGAGAAGCAGCTCCCAGCCTCCAGAACCTGCTAATACAGCCGATCCCAGATTATGATATTTCCTCGTCACGCGGAACACGAGCTGATTCACGTATACCTCACATCCTCCGATTTACACAACGGGGCAGTTAAGTCGGCCAGGACTCGACGGCGAATACGTTCGTGGCGTGTATTCGAAGTAGAGAAAATCTCTTTCAGCATCCATACTTAAACCACAATTTCCGGGACGGCGTTGGCTCTCTTCAGGGTTCTTCCTGTTGATGAGCTCGGTGTATGCTCGAGAGCTGCATATGAGGAAAGGAGTCGTGCGACTAGGATTAGCTGGCGTGCTTGCTCGCTGTTCCGCACCACATTCGCTTCAGGGAGCGACAGGATCTTTTCAATCTTTTTTTTTTCATTCTCGTCAAGGTTCTTAGTGTGTGCTGGAGAATCACCTCGGACCAGTGAGGTGGGACTACTCGAGAGGAAACATCCTTCCCCCGACGGACTGTTTTTCATCTCTTCACTAATCTGCGGCTCTCGCTCGCAACGCGGAAGCACGATTCCAGCAACTGGACATCTTCCCCCCCCCTTTTGTTGACTGAAGACCAGACGTGGGTGTCCTCCGCTATCGAGTCTGCAGCCAGACGATAGGTTCATTCCTACTCATGGAGCAGATTCCACCTTCGACATTGCTTAGATGTTTTCCAGCTCTGACTAGGACTCCCTGAGTTCCTTTCATGTCTTATCTGTGCGCATAGATCCCATGGTCCGCAGGCATGTTCGCCCCACGCCGCGGCCGCTTTACATCTCACGGGCACCTAACACAAGACGAGGAAGGAACTCAAATTGCGCGCATTCGCTAGCGATCGTTTTATTCCTCTCCACATACATCCACATCCAATATGTTTCGGGTCTCAGTGTCCATTCCGAATCCTACGGACGTTGTCTTCTCCGTCGACAGCCACCTGGTTAGAGGGAAATCGTGATGGGAAGGCAAAGAAGTATCCTATCGGTGACTATGGTTTTGTCGTCGTGTTTTGTTCTCGAGAGCTCATGTGCACGTGGGGTTTCTTTCGTCCTGTAACTAGACGATCGTCCCAGGTTCAGACCGTGAGCTGATGTGCATGCACCGGCAGCTTCGTAGAATAACTCTCCAACGTTCCCGGTGCGAGTGTCGAGAAGCGTGTTGTATTGATCTTTCCAGCGATGGGTCGGTTATCACCCCCTCGGTGTATATGATATAATTGTTCGTCACCTCTTCTCTTTATCAGCCCTGTAAGGTTATTTTAACTTGCTTCTTTTCAAAATTCGTGGTATGGCTGTATTCTTGACATACTTAATATACAATGTGTGGTTGCGTAGCGGAGTTGATGGCAAAATTCGGAACCTGAATCATTGATCATTCGAACGAAGTTCGAATAGTATACTGAGTAGTAGTAAGTTACTGTAAACACTCATGGACCATGAATGAGTTCAGAGCCTGAGTGAGGGACCAGGGACACCGAATTCGAAATCGGTTTGACCGTTCGGCGTTGAGTCTTGGCGCGTTGACGTCCAACAGATGGAAAAACAGTTTATGTAATAAAAATAATTACTCACATGGAGATCACTCTCTGGCTGGGAGTCGAACCCAGCTTTCGCGCGGCACTCGGATTCATATATGAGGAATCATGACAGGCGCGTGTACTAACCGATATACTACCAGAGAACATACTATGTAACTGACATTATGGCCCTAAACACTCTCATCCTCAGTCGCAATGCAACTTTTGCGACGACTTTTCCTTGCGCTGGCAGTCACGCACGGGTTTAATACATATGTGAGGTTCCATGACTGTGACTACATTGACGCTGAAACCACACCAGCAGCCGACATCCATTCTAGATTTTCCATCGTTGCTCAATTCCTCTGTCCAATCGCGTTGAACGTTCTCAAAAACGGGTATGTACGAATTGAAGGACGTGTATGTAACCATCTGTTCACTATGGACCAATTCTCGTCCGGTACCCCTGTGCGCGGCTGGAAGACAGCATCTGGGCTAAGCACGCGAAGTTCCGAGGCGAGCTTTCGTTTATTCTGCTATCTGTGCCCTTGCTGCTCGCGGTCTCACAGTGCTTTTTATCCATGCGACGATTACCTCTTCATTCTTGGTTGCCCTGTCTGAGACTTGATCTATCCATGGCCTTACGAACAACAAAAGAGCGGCCATGTACTTCTCCACGTCTCCGACTGGGAGTCGAACCCAGAACGTACCGATGTAACACCTTCTCGCCATTCTCATCTGATATTACGTCGCCCGCCCCCGAGTCGCATTTATTTTCGGCTCATAAAGAGACTTGCCTCAATACATGTGCTGGTCTGTGTAGTTCAGTGCCAGCTCGCGCTCATCGAGGCTAGGTGTGTAGAGTCGAACCACCCCTATGATATCAGGTGCACGCCACAAATGCTGAAGGCCTTGCGCATCTTGTCCAGTCCTGTCGTCCTCGAGAGTCGAGAATCTGGAATAAGGAGGGAATTAACGCGTGGAGCTTGAAGGGACAGAGGTGCGTGAATTCTAGGCAACTGCAGCGAAAGCCAGCGCTTATTCAGTCTCGCGTTCTAGTCAGGATTCAGGCCCAGGATACAGCCACCATTCCTTCGCTTTTCGAGACCCGTCCGCGCCGTAGCACCATGGAACGACATGGCACACAGGAATGGCCTGGTTTCTCTGGAACCTTGAGCATCGCTCAGAGTATACGTCTCTTAGTCCCGAAATGAAGAGTCTCTCTCTTTGGCTTGCCGTTTCTGTGACAGTGCTCACATTTGATGAGCATACCTCACATCTCCTGTGTCTCTTCCCTTCTCTCCAGAACCTGCGTGGACTCCTCTGTTTTCGATGGCCAATCCATCCGCAGGCGCTCCACGGCCGAGGATCCTTCACCTACGAGTATTACCTTCAGCTTCATGGTTGATCACGCATAATGTATAATCATACACAACGTTTGCCGTCGTTGTCTGAACAAGAATACGAAATCTCTCTTAGCAAGGTGTTGCACCTCTGGTACTTGACGGTTCACTACCGTTTCTCAAGGGACTCGGTTGGATTTTTTCGGCTCCATGTATTCAAGGGGCCGATCACGGGTATATGCGTGCGATTGGGACTAGTCGGTGTGCTCGCCCCCATAACACCATATCCTCCCGAGTCCCGACACATCCCACTTTCAATTCGGAACCAGGCACCAGCCGACAAGGATTTTCCCATCCTCATTCTCGTCGACCAGCTCCTGTCGTAGCCGATCCAGGTCACTTCTTCCGTCAATCGTAGCAGGATAGCAGTGCCTGCACTCGTCGTCTCGGACGACATAAGGTGGTATATAAATCATCTCCACATATCCAAGAGGTATTGCGGTGCGCGCTTTCGTCAACTTTCAATCACAACTATTCATATTTCATCTGATACAGTGTCCCCAGGGCTCGCTACTTGTAGAAACCAAACTTTCAGAAATGCAACCTGTACGCAAGACGGGGCAGCCGAAAATTCTTTCAGTGTTACAACCACGAAAGACATGCGTCTTAACAAGTCTCGCTTAGAGACCCAAATTGATGGGGGTGCAGCCTAGAACAATAAGGCCGTTCTGTGCCGGTTAGTACTCATGATCTCCTCGAACATGGATTGACAATACTCACGTAGTTGTTCCCGGTGCAGCAGGCCGGCTGGCTAGCACACTGGTTAGTCCCAAGGCCAATTACGGTGAGGGGGTCGCAAGTGAGGCCACTATCAAACATATATCAGCCTTGGATCATAGCCGAGAAATACGCAGCCTCACACTTGGCCGGTAACGCTTCCGATCGGGATGCCGAGAAGACCTAGGAGGGTCTGAACCGGCGAGGACGTGGACTGGTGTACGTTGTCAGTGTTTTCTTCCACGGTGCAACAGTTTTGGGCTCACGCTCTGGACAGACTTGCAGCACTGGAGGGTACCGGTGTTGCAGCTTCCTCCGTCGACGGTACTAGCTGGAAGCGCTGTGGCCATGGCAAGAGCTGAGAGGGCGAAGATACGAGCGAACATTATCTGTTAGGCTGTTGGTTGGTTGGTGATAATTACTGACTCCTCATCCATTTTATACGCCCTCCAGTGTGCCTTGTTCGCTCCGTCGAGGAAAATAAAAATATCTCAAGTCGACAGTTGACCGACAGAATGGTCGGGGCGCCCTGGAGAGAACGACAGGCGCCTAGTATTATATTTTTCTCAACCGCCAACTGTCATGGGTTCCGTGGTGCTGTGTTCTCTTGAGGTTAGCCAAAGAGAACGCATGATACACAACTGACAGCCAGTGTTGCTTGTAGGCATTTTGTGGAGGCTAGTACCTACATAATAACGACACACACCTCCATTTACGGCTTGCTGTGGGAACGATATCTCATTCTCATTCATTGTCGCAGATGATAACAAGGAGAGTGCCCTGCTGACGCCGCCACTCCCAACGCCGCCCCCGTTTCATGGCTTTATTGCTGCATCTATGTCTCAAGTTGTGCGCCGATACGTCTTTTCCAGGCTTAGACCGACTCGGATATTTGGGCGAGATGAAATGTTGGGTAGGGTGGTTCCCGGCTGTTATGAAGAGAAATCGAGACCGCATTTGGGTCCTCGGGGGACGAGTTCTCGTTCGGGGATGACTTGTCGCGCTGCATTCGATGGTGATTGTCGTGATGTCGCCGTACGTGGTCCAAAGTCCCCACTGGAAAGGCTCGCGACGCCTCCTCTCCGTTGGTTGTCGGGAAAGCCGTTACAGTAGTCGATAGGCGCCGGGAAAGGAAACAGCTTTCGGTGGTACGTAAATTAGCAAGACTCCGTTGGTCTATCGGTTAATACCCATGCTCTGGGTTCGATTTGAATAGAAAGATGTCGAGAAATGTAATAATTTTTTTCTTCGAAGCAAGTAACCGACAGCGTTTATTGCTCGTGGTCATTTTTGAGAGGCTAGGATGACGATACACAGGCTCCGCATTTTCCATGACTCCCAATTTCATGTGTAGTTCTTGTTAACCCTGTTGTGTCGCAGATGATAATAAGGAGAGCGCCTTGTGATGCCGCCACTCGTGCTCCCCCTGACCTGATTACTGTCAAATGTTGTTGTATTTCTCCAAAGGGTACACGCCGATACATCTCTTCCCTCCTTCGTACTAGAGGAAGCTATCTTCAGGCGCCGAGGGGAAATGTCAGGTTAGGGAAGTATTTTCTTCGACCGTGTCCTACTTCTGTTTGCTGCTGTGGAGAGAAACTGGCACTCCTCGGTGCAGTCTGAATCTCTCGCACACGTCCGTCCATCCATTTATCCTTCCTTCCTATGAAAACGACGAACAAGAAAAATACTCGCATATATGAAATCATAGTCTGACTGGGAGTCAAACCCAGAACACGGTGTATACCACATGCCGTTGTTTCCTTCCTCCCTTCCGATGACATCCCCTGCGCATGTACTCCACAAAACCCCGACTTTTTGATTTTCCCTCCCACACCAGCATTCCATTCCCTCTTAGTCTCGGTCCAATTGTGCACGTCTTCCCCTGCGTTCGCCATTGCTCTCGCGCCACCCTCCTGACTCACGAGAATAACAACCATTGATCCAGAAATTCAGTTATCAGTCCTTCCCATCGACAAGAAGTACGCTCCCGGTGCGATGCTGTGACAATGTATTTTCTACAATGATCCTTTCAGCTACGGCTTAGATGGTCGTCTGGCAGGCATGGTTTCCGAGAGCACAGTGGCTTGTTCTCATCCAGATATGATATCGTTACTCACCCTCTGAAAGCCCTATTCTATGTACCGATTTTCGCTATGTCAGCCGTACCTCTCCTCACATAGATATTAAGCGCGATATTCATTGTTGATGACTGAATAGGGAATACGTATTTAATCAGGCATCCTGATTCCTTGCTTCCGTTCCGCAGAATGGTTCGGGATGGAAAAGGAAACGATTTAGGAGCCCTGACTCTCTGGCTGGGAGTCGAACCCAGCTTTCGGGCGTGTATCAATACGAGATAATGACAGGCACGTGTACTAACCGATAGGCTACCAGAGATCTTGATGTTGCTCTAATGATGACATAGGTATTCATTCCTACTCCTCGAGTCTGATGGTACATCAATACGGCTAAATAGGTCCTCTTCACACGACGATGTCCTTGACATACGAAACTCCCCTGAAGCACTTGGCGCTCTCACCCGCGATATACGCGTCTCACCAATACCCGGACTGAGAGGCCGACGCCAGTTTTGATCTCGAGATTTCAGCATGTCGAGTGTTTTCCCCCCGGTATTGAGGGATATGTCTTCGAAGGCAGCCTGGTCATGTAAGGGGGCTCTCACTTATACTGTTCAATGGCTGTGCGTGAAGTTCCAACTGTACTAAGATTAGAGCTCATCCACGCCGCCAGGCCCATTCCATTCTACACCAAGGCGATTTCCTGCCATCCGATCGCCTTCCCAACGGTTCCCCTCACCTCCTTTGGCGCATAGGGATGGACCGCGTGGCGATTAGTGCTGGCGGGGGTGCGAAGGGAGTGGATTCGGATACACTGGAGATTCCCTCGCGCATGGAACGTTGGGTATGGACATGCCCGCGGGGCACCTGTGTCCGATAACCTCACCCGTTCACGTTCGTCCGGCTCTAATCAAGCGCAGCATTCAGACGATAAAAGGCAACGGTTGGTGTCCGGCGCTCTATTCGTAGAGGGAGCCACAGTAATACCCGAAACTCAATCTGGGTATAGGCTTTTGTGGGTCTCCACCTCGCCTTATTCTGTAATGTTTACTCAAGACAGTGCTACGTACCAGTGGGGAATCAGGCGGATATTCTTGTCCCTCTTCCGGGATGCCCATTCGATCTTCATTATAGCATCGATTTCGTATGGCGGGTGATCATCATCGTCCTTACTTCATCTAGGACCTGTGCGCTGAACTCAAAGTAGTCCAGGATGAAACATCGGATGCGCTGGTCAACACTGGGTGTTTCGCTCTGTATACTATATAATGAATTGTTGTTGTGCATGTGTTATCTCTGCAGATCACCTCCTTCTTTGTTATTCTATCCCCCCCCTTCCCCCGGTCTTCTGTGATGGCTAGTCAGATCGGTCCTCCAATACCAGACCTAACCGACGCCGATAGAGCCTATATATCTACAGAGCTTGACGCTGCATTGAATTCGCGAATTCTCTATTCTCTACTGCTTGGTGCGCATACCAGTTCGTCTAATATAGGTGTCTAATCATGGCTATACTTAGGTCTGTACACCGGGATCGTTGTCGTCACACTGGAAAGCATCTGTGAGAGAAACACGTCCACCCCGGTATACAAGCTGAAGGGAACGACGCAGATACGAACAAGACCCGGACCGTCGGACGGGGCATGGTCGCCGTCATATCCATCCTCCACATCGTCAGTTCCGTCAACTTCCTCGCCGACTGGGCGTACATACGCACTCTGTTCGTCGGGAACGGACAGAGTGCCTGGGCGGAATACCTGTTTGCCAACAGTGACCGTGTGGGTTTGACCCTGGTGATGGGTGTTGCGGGGATCGTGTGTACTGCTCTTGCAGACTCCGCTTTGGTATGTGCAGCTCCGTGCTACTTGTTCTCTCCATGGCGTCAAACCGGATTTACAGATCTGGCGCTGCTGGATGGTCTGGGGACGGCGATGGCCTGTCATCGTGCCTCCCGTCCTTTTCCTCATCTGCACAATCGGTATGATCAACTCAAAATCTTAAAGGAAAAAAGGAATGAGCAAACCCACCCCGCGTAGTATTCAACTGCATCGCTATATACAAGGCATACACCTCGACAAGCGGGTACACTTTCGGGTTCGTGCTCCATTCGGCCTTTATCCTCGCTACGACTCTGTGGTGCACCCTGCTCATCATCTACCGCATCGTGGCCGTCGTGCGCAGACTCAGAACGTACCGCCACGTTATCGAGGTCTTTGTCGAATCGTCGGCGCTGTATTCGCTGTCCTTGATTTTATACGTAGCCGTGTTTTGCTATGACACTCCTGCGTCGTTTTACGTCGATGTCGTAGCGGGGGTTGCGAGGGTACGGTCTTGGAGTTTTTTTTTTATAGCTGTCTCGCAGTTATTGAATACATTTTTAGGGAATCGCGCCGACGCTCCTCGTGGGGCGTGTCGCAGCGGGACAGGCGCGCCCGGACGATTCATGGCAAGGGAGTATCATGTCTTCACTGCAGTGGAGGTCTCAGCAGGGGAGCGATGATCAGTTGGAGAGAGGCGATGGTGATGAGTATGCGGTGGTGGCGGCTTCTACTGCCTATTTGGATGAGGATGGCGTCACCCATCGAGATCACTGCAAAACTCAATTAGAGAGACTACCAAAGAACCCAGCGGTCATCAGTGTACCGAGGGATTGATCACCCCGCTTTCATTGTTTGTTGTTTCGTAAAATATGTGCTGGGGGTTCCTCTGGTTTTGACTTTGGATTTAATACGTTCGACAGTTATCGAGTTTAGAGTATAGAATATACACGGCACCTCACAGATTACTGAATCCCCTCTCTCAGCCGTTTATTTTCCAAACTACAAATTTTGGGACGACGTCGGCGTTTGTTGTGCTCGGCTCCCGTGCGACACTCGCTTCGAATACTAAGGTATTGTTTCAATGCCTTTTTTTAAATCTCAACTTGAAGACAGTCATTTGTCCTTGCACGCAAGGAAATAATCTTCTCCAAAAAATTTACCCCTCTGCTTATCGTGTGGAGGAGGTCTTCAACTTGGAGCGAACCTTATTTCGACCGGGTGGCTCCTCGCTTTGGGACCATATTTGTCCTATCTCTACGGTTGGGCTATAGAGAGAAACGTGTGGGTCTTATGTTTTGAAGCCTAGGTCCCTGGCAGGAAATCGCCTTGGTGTAGAATGGAATCTGGCGGTGTGGATGAGCTCTAATCTTGGTACAGTTGGAACTTCACACACAGACAGCCCCTTGCATGCCTTTGAAGACATACCGGGAGGAAGAACTCGACATGCTGAAATCTCCAGATCAAAACTAGCGTCGTTTTCTCAGTCTGGTTATTGGTGAGGCGCGTCTGATGTCGGCAGGTGCTTCAGGGCAGTTTCGTATGTGAAGGTGTTAAGAAAGGTAGGAATGAACAGTACTGACACATCATTAAGGAGGGTAGGAGTTCTCTGGTAGTATATCGGTTAGTACACGCGCCTGTCATCTTGGGTCCTAAATAGATCCGCGCGAAAGCTGGGTTTGACTCCCAGCCAGAGAGTCAGCGCTTCTAAATCATTTTTTTCCATCCCGAACCATTTTGCGGAACTGAAGCAAGGAATCAAGATGCCTAACTAAATATGTATTCCCCATTCAATGAACCTTGCGCTTAATATCTATGTGAAGAGAGGCACGATCCCAGAACCTTGAAACCTTGAGTCAATGGTACGGCTAGTATAGCGAAAATTGGTAAATAGAAGAGGGTGAGTAACGATATCATATCTGGACGAGAACAAGCCAATCGAACCCAGAACACGGCTATTAACCGATAATTACGTACTACCAAAAGCTGTTTCCTTCCCCGGCGCCCATCAACTATGTAACTGCTTTTCCGACAACCAATGGACTCGGAGAGGAGGCGTCGTCGAGCGGTGAGATGAGGATCCAGGGATCTAGCGCGCCACACACTCTGCTCTCGATATGGCCTGCGATTTGAGCGAGCCTTTCCAGCGGTGACTTGAGTCCGCGTATGGTGACACTCGCCATCGAATGCAGCACCCCCAAACGAGGACTCTTCCCCCGTGCATATACCCGAACCTGGGATGAACATGGACTTGGCGCAGCCTCATCGTCAATAGTCCTTGTAACGCGGACGATTCATTGGGGGTGGTGGAGAATAGGCTGCGTGCTCTCTTTTGCGTGGACGTACACCAAATTGATGCTTCCTTCTTCCGAGCTGTCATTCGGGCTCCATTCGTGGGCAAAGCCGTCCTTTTATCTACGGCAGTGTGACTGCAGAGGCGAGAGTAATCGGTTATCACTCGGGAGTGATATCCAGCGCCGCTGGGAATCTCCCATACGTCTGCGCCCCGCTGCGCGATCCTGCTTGGGGTCAAGGGAATTTGGTTTGGGTGTTGATGTGTAGTTGGAGTGCCTGTCACTGGGAACTATGGTGTAGTGATGCTCAAAGTTGGAGATGTCTTTTATCGACTGGTACGCCGACTCGTCTTCTTTCCTTCATTATTTAACATTAAACAATAGGTACAGAGTATCAATAGCGATGGGGTTTCTGGGCGAGTTACAGATCCGCGGATTGTACGGACTCATACGTTCCATGGCCCCTCTCGGCAACATCTTTTGGGATCCTATTAGCTTCACAATCACTTACATGTGTAATACACGATGCCATCCCCAGCCCTCCTTCCAAAGTTCCGACAGCGAGGATATGCACAGTCTATTCGATCGCAGTCTTGTCAAGGCACACGAGGGCTTTCGTGCTCCAGGTGCTAGTAGGCGCTACTACCACACACATCTGACAAGGACTGTAAATCAAGAGAACCGTCCTACTTTCTACATTGACCTAGACTAACATGCAAAGCACCATCACCATGAACACAAAGAAGCCCGCTGCCCATGCAGCATACGCCGCGCCTACGGCATACCCCATCCCCAGCGTCTCCACCCCACAGTAGCGCCGGACAAGGGGCACACCCACCGCACCATCCACCCCAACCCACACGACACTCAACGCGAACCTGAGGATCCTGGACGCCCTATCCGAAGCACGCATAAAATATGCCTGCAGTGCCACGCCGAACACGCTAAACGGAAGAAACGCAGCCATGGATCCCCAGAACCCGACCAGGAAGGTCGACCAGAAGGTGGTGTAGGCGTACGGGCTGCGGGGGCAGCTGAGCTGGAGGAGGATCCAGTGGCCGGCGACGATACAAGCGCCGGAGAACGCGCTGGTCATCGCGGCCATTAGTACGATGCAGAGGAGAGTGAAGAGGATCCCGAGGAAGACTGCGATGGTCTTCATGGGGATCCCCATGCGCTGGGTTTTCCGGATGAGAGGGTGGTTGGAGAGCCGGTTGCGGGTTTCGATGTTGTGAACGCCTGCTAAGCGTGGGTTTCGATGATATAAATAAGACGAGGACGAGACTCACCGGCTAGGGCGGCTTCTATGGCTCCGTAGCTGGGGTGGGTGCTACTGCTGAGGATGGGCCCCTCGGCCCTGGGACGACGAAAGCAGCGGAGGAAATGCGACATGTAGTGGGGGGTGGAGGAACAACGTGCATTCCCACGTCTGAGGGGTTTATGTACGAGAGTGGTAAGCGCCAGCTGCGCCGGAGATCCTGGCGCTTGTCGTTCAACGTGGTTAACATGGGACCAAAGTTCAAATCCTCGAGGCGTTCACCGAGTTTTATCTCGGCTGCTATTCAATCTTCAAGGTAAATCCGATTAGATACCACTCGATGTTAATGAGCACCTCCGAACTCGACCTCTCAATTTACGTTATACGGATGGATCGCTCGTGTGGAGGTAAAGAAATCAAATAAAGAACGATTTCCAAATTTCAAGTTTTGAGGGAAAGATAATGGACTCTACGGAAATACACGTACCATGTACTTTCTCCCTACATCAGGGTCAGTAAAAACCGGTATCTCAAGTACTCATGCAATGTACTAGCAGTTGTTTCATGAACAGATGACTTGTCGGAGGTTTTTCGACAGCTTTTACTACTCACGTGAATTTACTGCCAGAAACTTTGAACTCCGGAGGTTAGTCTCTAGTTTCTGAGCCTCAAACAGCCTCAGCACACTGCTCAGTGCACACTCCCACATTGGACTTGGGGGAAAAAAAAAATTAGAAACTATCAATATAATCTCTCTGGCTGGGAGTCGAACCCAGCTTTCGCGCGCACATGAAACTGCGGTCTTTTTATGACAGGCACGTGTACTAACCGATATACTACCAGAGATTACAAATGAACATACATAAATCCGGATGACACCTCCACCTCTCATGTGCGAAAATTCCCCGAGTCCCTGCGCACCTGCATTGTACGTTCCATCAGCCTGGAAAGTAGACTTTGAGATGCCAACCCTTTGACGCGTTTTTCTGGTATCTCCGGCGAGTGTATGCGAAAAGGACTGTGACGGGTACTCGTAGAATGGTACAAGGTCCGTGAAGTACCGAGACAAGTGCTTATTCATGCCACCAGACTGTTTCTGGCTGCGGGCCACCCACTTCCTTTGGCCATGGGGCATTTCATGATCAGCTTCGCAGCTTTAGATGGCCAGCACATGGCTGCGACAGTGATGGTTAGCGCTGGCGGAGCAGGCGTGATTCTATGAACGGGATAGGTGGGCAGGACGGTACACTGGATGGCTGAGCGCAGGGTGCCTCCGTGTCTGATAGCCATCATGCACAGTTTCGAATTGGAGGGCAGTATGGATGCCAGGCTAGTCGTCATTGCTGTCGCTGTGTTCTGCATCCATTCCTCAATACCGACAAACGCGTGTGGTTCTGTACCAAATGGACCCTTCATCAGTTCGGGCGCTGCTTTCGTTCTCATTCAACCTCATCGCTCTGATTTGGCCCATTTCCGTACAGCGATGTCGGCGCCAGGGTCATGGTGTCACGACTTTTCACTTTTATCTTATCTAGACACATGCGACTAACACACAGCACTGTGCTGACGACACTAATGACTTCATGACCAACCCTATACCATACCAGAACCGCACCAAGGACAGGTGTAGCACTATTAATAGCATAGCCAGACACGTATATAAGATCCTGTATTATTGGCCTTAAGCCTTAGCTTTGGACTAAAGTCTATACTTCCTAACTGAACTCCTCACTAAGGTCTAAAAACTCTGAGGCTATGCCCAGACTACTCTATTGTCACTAACCCTCAGTGTTACCGGTATAGGGTTGACTCTAAAGAGTGTTTGAGTTAGTCGCTGACAATTAGTCCGAAGCTTGCCCTTGCGTATCCAGGTTCGCAACTGGTCTCAAGTTATCCCGGCGCAATGCCACCCCGTCCGCAACCCACCATCCCCGCTGGTATCCAGCACAAGAAATCCTCATACTACACCCACGTCCCCAAGAAGGACATTTCCCGTGCCCAGCAATGGTGCAAAGACTGGGAACAACAAGTTCTCAACGAAGCCCTAGAATTCGAAGACGACGATATCTACGGCGCACCCATCACCATCCGCCCCTCCGTCCCCAGCTCCGCTCGATACGAGCAGGAGCACTCCATCCCCAAAGCCTCACGGCCGTTGCCACAAATTCCCCAATTTCCCCCAACCCCTCAGCCGCCTAAACCCCGGCCCAAGAACCTGGCATGCTACATGCCCAAACTAGTCGCGTCAAGCGGCCCAGCAGACCTCCCTCCCCAACAACCATCATGCCCGCCAACTACCTCTACCTCCTCATACTCCCAGCAACCCTCGCCATCATCCTCAGCCTTTGCATCATTGGCTACTACCAGCGCCGCGCTGAGCAGGCCCGCGTGAGAAGAAGGGCCCGATGCACCCCACGAGAGTGCGGCCCAGTCATACTCGTTCGACCCCCCCCGCCCCCTACACGAAACCACCCCCTGACCGTCCGGAGGAAAGCCTTGAGGAGTTCCCAATCTGGGAGTTCCTCGTTCCCGAGGACATCATTCCCCTCCCAGAACGCGCCTACCGGCAAGACGACAACTGCGCCGCCGCTGAGTACTACAGCGACAGCGCATCCTTCCACCTGGCAGCCATGGGACCCTATTCCCATTATCCCCGATACCCCCGACGACACCCCACTGGCTGGAGTCGTACCCCTTCCCCCACACGCCCCCGTTCCTACCTGACCGACGGTTCCACTGTCGATCCCACCGAGTCCAGTCACGGACACACGGAGTGCGACACCTGCGACTCCACACCCGGAAATGAAAGTTTCCGACACTGGCAAAGGGAAGCAGAGGGCGAGTGGAGCCCCCCTCTGCCAGAAGTGGTTACCGACAGAGATGAGCATTGACGAACTGGTACAGTTTGTAGTAGAAAGATTGCCGGTTGAGTTCTCTTGGTGAGGACTCCCGGCCGGCGAAGAATACACCAAGTATGAAGTAGACGCCCCGCATTACGCGGAACTCATACTAAGAACCGAGGCGATCCATCGGGCCGTAATCCAATGGAATCAGTACCACCCACAGCAACGGCTAAAGGTGCCAGAGCCTTGGCTCCCCACGGAAGTTGTGTGCCCCATGTGGCAAACGCCGCCACAGCAGAGATCCCCACCGGCCTTTGGGCAATACAGCAGACATCAAGGGACACCCCAAGTAAACCTCGGAAGACCTTTTGCCGGAGCCGGCAACGACGAAGCAGGAGGATCGGGACCCCCAGGCAGCGGAGCACCAGGTGCACCCCCGGGCAGCGGATCCCATCACCTGAAAACTTGGAACCTTCCCAGATTCCCTTCACCACCAAAGCCGCCCAGCCCACCCGCCGAATGGGTACTGGCCACAGGTGACATGGGCCCGTGGGGAACCTCGAAACCCAACTACGCCAGAGAGCCCGCGGTCTTCAAAGGGAAGTCCGACAATATCACACGGTTCTTCAACCAGGCGGAAATGTACTTCGAGGTACACGACCAAGGATTCAGGAGACACCCTCACAAGGTAGTCTTCTGTGTTTCACACTTCAAAGAAGAAGCACAGACCTGGTGGGCCCTACAAGCCCGCGAACTGTATGACCCCGCAATCGGCCAAATGAGATACCTGGCCTACGATACCTTCAAGGCCACGGTCATCAAACAGTTCTGGCGAGACTCCGACGCCAAGATCAAACAGGCACAGTGGGAGAAACTCTGCCAAGCCACCTATAGCGACGGCGAGGTGTTCTTCCAAAAGTTCGAAGAATTGGCCCTGGAAGCTAACGTCATCACCAACGAGCAGATGATGTGCTCCCAAATCGAGAAAGCGGCTCGGCAGTCATCGAAGGACAAGATCCTGATGAACAATGCCGAAAGTCCGACCACTTACCAGGAGTGGAAAGCGCGCCTTTTGCGCATGGACTATGGTTTCCGCTGCAACAAGGCGATTGGAGGCAGCTCGGGACTGAGCAACGAGAAGAAGGGCCATGACGGCCAGAAGAAGAACTCCACCGGCTCGAATCATTCGAGCAGCAAGTTGACCAGCGACAAAAAGACAAACACTGGAATGACCTATGGAGGCCAAGGGCAGCCCATGGATCTCGGCAAATTATGCGCCAAAGGCAAATGCTACAACTGTGGCAAGAAGGGCCACATATCCAGGGACTGCAAGAAAGAATGACGAAAGAAAACGGCTGTGGAGATCCGGGCCATCCAAGAATACTGGAAGGGGCAGCTCGAAGGAGTGGAAAAGGAAAAAACCGCCACCACGAGCAAGATTGAGGAGGTAAAAGAGGAGGCCGGGCAGTAGATTCGTCTGCACCAGCCAAGGGACATGGTACGCATTCTAATACCGCTGCGCGGACTGATACATCTTCTGTAGTTACGTCGAATAAATATACGCTGCTTAACGTTGAAGAGTGCGACCAAGAAACCGAATCAAGACTTCAAGACTCGACATCCGAGCCTGCTGTGAAGGAGGGGACATGCCAGGTGGCGCTGGAGCCCTCAACACGAGTATTAGGACTTGGGCCAGAGTCGAGTAAGCGGGACGCCCTCGGGCCTCTGAAGCCGAAAGACTCAGTGCCTCCCATGGGGGCCAAGGCAGACTTCGCAAGGACCGATGCGGCGAACCTCAAGCGCCTGCCAAAGGCCAAGACCACAGAGTCCGATCCTCTGGGGCATGGGGCAGAGAGCCCCAACGAAGACCCATCGGACGACAAGAAAGCCACAGGATGGAAACCCGCTAGCGCCCAGGCGGTAGAAAGGGGGCCTGAGAGACCAAGCTCTCCCACCGAATCAGTGAGTAGCTGCTCCACCGCCTCTAGCTCACGAAGTGTATCTATTGTAGAAGTACCGGACGAGGAAGACGACTTCTTGTACCGACAATGGTTGGCTGCTGGCGCCAGGGACCCTGTCCAAAAGCCAGATGCATGCGGGCCATCCCTGAAGCGAGAAAGTCCTCCTAGCGAGGCAGGAAGCCTAACCGAACGATCCGAGAGTACGGACTCGAACGGTGGCAACACCCTGCAGGAAACTGCCGTGTCTCCGCAAGGAGCTAGACGGGTACCAATAGTCCATGTCTGGACTAAGCCTTTTACGGCAGACTGGACCCAGCACCAGATTCGGGAAGCCAGGACGCATGAAAAATGTATGGCTATCCTAAAGGACTGGGTACACCCAAAGCGAAGAGAAGAGGTAGACGACGAGATGTTGGCACAAGTAGTGGGACTGGAAAGCTTCAAGTCGGAAAGATACGAGCTGATCATTGATTGGCTCCACGACTTACACCGGGCACCAAGGTACATCCAAGGATGACCAGGCCGAAGCGTCATGGTCAAACTACAACTGGAAACCACAGGACACGTGACGAAAGTTCCAAGTCAACACGCTGTTGGACAGCAGCTGCACTCATAGCGTAGTAAGCTCAAAGTTTGTACAAGACAATGAGCTGAACATAGTCAACAATGAGTTTGCAACGCCTGTTTACAATGCAGACGGAACCTGAAACAAAGAAGGAGACATCAAGAGCCACGTGGACATGTGCATCATAATCGGTGACCATGAAGAATGAATGGACCTAGCAGTCACACATTTAGGGTCCGCTGACATGTTCCTAGGCTATGACTGGCTTCAACATCACAATCCCCTAGTCAACTGGGAAATGGGAGAAGTATCTTTGGTCAGATGTCACTGCTGCGCCATACCGTTCCACCTTCCAGACGTAGACCCAGAAATCCAGTGGAAGGAGATAGAAGAAGGAGACCGGATCCTGATGATCGACGTGCAAGAAGCAATGCACGTACGAGCCATGGGATCCAAAGCCAACAACTTAGCTGCCAA